CAACTAAACTGCCTTGAAAAAAAAAAACAACAACAACAACCACCAGGTTTGCTATTCATTATTCATTATCCACCATCAACTAAACTGCCTTTAAAAAAAAAATTAAAATAAAAAAAAAATCGTTCGTGTGGGAATTGAACACACAACCACCTGGTTTCCCGTAACATGATTAGTCTATTTTTTTTTTCTAATTTGCATAAAGAATTTTCAAACATTTTTGTCTATTTAAAAAAATGTGCCTAAGTTATGGAGATGGTAACAATCAAAAATCGATTATAAATTTAATTCTACATTTTTAGACAAAAAAATAAACCCTCTTTGCCCACGGCCCATTTTCGACACCATGACCATGCGTAATATTAACCTGCAGTGTATATATACGAAGAATTGTTTCTAGTAGGATCAGAGTTGACTAACTGGTACTTGGTGTGGTTCTAGGTTTATTGCATTTATGTCTTAGGGGCCGCGGTTTACCTCCCTCTGTTTAGTCATGCTGGATCAGGGGTAGTAAACTCGGCGATCGTGGGTTCGATTCCCACACGGGGCAAGTTTTTTCTTTAAACAATTTTTTTTTGTTTAATTTTTTTTAAGGTCGTGGGTTCGATTCCCACACGAGCCAGTTTTTTTTTTTTTTTTTTTTTTTTTTTAAGGCAGTTTAGTTGATGGTGTATAATAAATAGCAAACATGGAGGTTGTGTGTTCGATTCCCATACGAACCAATTTTTTTTCTTTAAGGCAGTTAAGTTGATGGTGGATAATTAATGTACCGTACTCGTTGATGACGTCGCGAAATAACAACGAACAACAACGTGTCTTGTCCGAGCCTAGGCCGTCATGGAAGCTCACTGGCTCCTGTGTAATTCATGTTGAGCCAACTGCAGACGAAAAGGTTACAATCTTTTCAGAGATAAGCTGGAAGAAAGTTTTAGACAGTGCCCATCAATGGAAGGATTTTAATACTGAGGAATGGAAGTTAGCGCGAAGTCCTTGGCTTGCTTAACCGTTTTTCTTCAATCGTCGCTTCCAACCGTCTAGGCGCGTCTAGCCTAGTGGTAGTGGGTTACCCACATCTTTATATTTGCACAAGTAATTAAAATATTTTATTGAGCAGATTAAGCACACTGATAAACAATTGTACTACATTTGGCTGATGCATATGAACTTCTATTTAGAGACATAATTTCATTATTTTCTTTCCAGAAATCTTAATGAACGTTCACCTAGCACCTCATATCGACTTTTGAATGGTGAAAATCGGCTCAGTATAACCCATACCGAGTACAAATTTTAAGTTAATAGAACATACTGCTGTTACATCTTCTAGTTTTCCCCCACCGTTGTATACGCTAGGTACACGCTACAGTACACACAATGAGCCTACAACTTTGCATAGCAGAGTTCCGCACGAGTGATTCAGCCCACATCTTTATATGTCAGAGTTAACGCATGAATGGTTTTATGGGGGCGACCAAAATATGAGGGGGCTTGGAATTTATTTTCGGTGGCCACGCCCACTGAAAAATATTGCTTCTTAGATTCCCGAATACACGTTAACCATGACAGCATAAGCATAAGCCTAGCCTAATTGTTTTTGCTTCGAAGTTTTCGAATGAGGGGGGGGGGCGACTGGGAGGGCGCAAGATTTTTGTGGATACGCCACTGTCTATGGGACGCCAACTATGTCAATTATAATGTAAAATCTGCATAACATTACTAAATGTCGCTGTTTTTTTGTTATTCTGTAGAAACAGGGAGATCATAAAAACATATTTTTGAAATTTTGAGGGTATTAGACTAACCCCGGTATTCTTAAAACAAACTTTAGCTGTAGTGCGAGCTAAAACTTAAAAATTACGTCATTTCGTATTCTTAAAACGAACTTCGACTAGTACTACGACTAAATGACGCGAACCTCGACTAAAATAATACCTCCGCTGGCCAATTTTTTCAGTCAGCCTAGGTCAGGCTAAATCGCCGACTTGAAATACTGTATTTACCCCACTAAAAACGTGTTTTTCTAACTCATGATAAAGTGAAACGAATAAAAACTATTTTATTATACGCAGGTTTGATATATCTTCGGTGTGTTAAACAAGAGACATCAAGTTTAGCTTCCAAAAGGAGAAATTAACATGTTTTGCTAGCCACATATGCGATCCTCGCTTTGCGATCACCTAGCTTCACCATAACAACAACCAGAGCCGTAGATAGAGAGAGTTTGGCCAACTCGGTTTCAATCACGTGACTTGCACCGGCCATGTTGTCACCAAAACAAAACAACGCGATAGGGTAGGAAGTTAGCAGTTATTATAGATGATTAATGCTATAATTATAATGTGAAATACCGTTATGTTGGGTTTGGGGTTGCTGCAATCGA